TCTATGATTCTGTGTGGAGGTGCACGTGAGCAGCAGGGATGCTGCTGCGAGCATCGATGCTCTTTATCTGCTGCTTTTGCTTTCTTCACCGTCAGGCTTGAGTTATTGAGGTTCTTAACCTTCCTCTCTGTTGAATTTTTCACTAGCCCTAGAGCAAGGTGATGTTGGGGGCGGGGAGAGTAATGCAGCCAAGGAAGCTCTCGCCATCTCCCCAAAAAGGGCTGTATGAGGAGGAGCAGGGCTGCCCCATTCTCTGCAGGAGGCTGTTTTCGGAAGTTCTGGGAGGACGTGGCATAAGCCTGGCAGGCCGGGAGGGGTGGAGAGGCAGTGACTCAGCCGCTGGCACGCAGGGCTCACACTGAAGCGACGCCTTGGAGAGGCTCCGGAAAGGCGGTTGTGGCACTCGGAACCTCGTTCCTGTGCCTGAGAAAGGAGGTGACGGTGTCGTGGTTCCCGTTCCCCAGACTGGGAGGAGGAGGAAGGCGAGATGATGGTTGAATTTAGCGCCTTGGGATTGTGCCGAGCACGGCCTTGGCGGTAGATCTGGCAGCCCAAGAGTTGCACGTCATGGTTGCCGCTCTTCTCCTTCTTTGTCCTTCTTCTTTCTTCTTCTTCTTTCTCCTTCTTCTTTCTCCTCCTCCTCTCCTCTCCTCCCAGCAGCACCGTACAGCAGATCAGAATTCCAGCATTGAAACACACCTTTTGCTTTCCTGTTGCTTTCAGCTGTGAAGCCAGTTGAGCAAACGGGAGATGATTCACCCTCAACCTGCAGTAAAATTGCGCTCGTTGAAATTCCAGCTGCCGCTAACACCTTTCCAGCCCCGGTTCTCTGCCGGCCTTGCTGCATTGGGTGAAAACCAAAGCTTTTTTTTGCCTTTTTTTTTTTTTCATGGCGGTCTCTGGAGAGAAGCAGAAAATGCTTTAAAAAATTAAAAGCAAATTTGTGTTTTCTTGAGCTTTGATAAAGCTGGGGAGTGGAGCCATGAGGTCTGCAGACAAATCTCTTGCAGGACCTGAATCTTGCCAGGGCAGGGAAACGAGAAATTCCACCTCCTGGGCATAGACCCACTCATGGAATCACAGAATCGTTTAGGTTGGAAAAGACCTGTAAGATCACCGAGCCCAACCGTTCCCCTAACCCTGCCATCCTAACCTGTCCCTAAACAGAACTACTACATGACTTTTAAATCCCCCCAGGGATGGGGACTCGACCCCTTCCCTGGGCAGCCTCTTCCAGTGCCTGACAGCCCTTTCTATGAAGACATTTTTCCCAATGTCCATCCTAAATCTCCCCTGGCACAACTTGAGGCCATTTCCCCTCGTCCCATCGCCCGTTCCCTGGGAGCAGAGCCCGACCCCCCCAGCTCCCCCCTCCTCTCAGGCAGTTGTAGGGAGCGATGAGGGCTCCCCTCAGCCTCCTCTGCCCCAGGCTGAACCCCCCCAG